AAACAGGAAGCTGCTCGGATCGATCATTGAAGAGCATGAAACAAGGCTCATACCACGTGGACGTTAATGATGAGATAGAGGATTCTCCAGATTCCGTAGAAAATGGTTGACCAGGAATCGGGCAAGATGAGGATGAATGTCACCGTGAGTGCCTGAGATAACAGGCATTTACCTGGGCACCGACAACTGTATGCTCTGTGCTCATTGATCAACTCTCCCTTTTTCCTCCCTCCAACACTGCAGGATAAAATGCTTGTAAAGACAACAGCAAATTCGAGATCCTGCGATTACTTCGCCTGCTGCTTCTTACAAACATGCCTTCCAGGGAATTCATTATTGATCGGCTAGCTCCGGTGACTGGAGGCGAACTATGATTAGACTCGCTTCGACGTGGCACGAAGAGAGGCTTGCATTCTCATCTAGGTGGATCTTCCGCTTCACTTTTCTTCTTCTTTGGCTGCGGAGGTCTAGAATATGAAACTTATACCCATTTTTTATGATTGCTTGGCCCCTGGTCTGTCCTGTATGGATGACATAGTCCGCTACTCACATGAGTAGATGTTCATGATACTTGGCGCATCCATCGGACAATCTTTCCGGACAGCGATGGCGGTCATAGATTGTGCAGCTACAGTCTGGGTCCAAAACAATCCAGAGAGGCGCTTGGCCCTGATGGTCGTCTTGTCATTCGACTGATCGCTCCATTGTTTTGGAAGAGTGCTGTCTTATGTCAGTTCGCATTCCTGACGACACAATGAGATGGTGCATCGCCCAAGGCACCGTCGCAGATAGTGGATGCATTTTGGCGGTCTGACAGCACTATCTGGCGACTAAGAGCAGCAGAAGTGCCCAAACACGAACCAGACTGGAGCATCCCAGGACCAACCATCGGTCTGAGTCTTAGAGAGAGATCCCCTCCAAGCTCTGCCTCACTGGCCCCATACGACGACGACTGGCAAGTCCGTCTGTCATTTACTGTCGCACCATATCCATTTGGTGATCTAGTGGGCCTCATTTCTGCAATCATCCTCTCAGGCTGTTGGCAGTAACCGATAACAAGTCAGTAACATTCATTCTTTTCGACTGGTGTTCCTATTCTCGCATTCACTACTCGTACTTTGAGGCATTATTTTCAGCAGTCAGCGCAGTGTCGAGTAGTATTCGTCATGGTCAATTGCCTCGAACCTTGGTCTATCCATAATCCCATGTAACAACGCTTCTCACAGGAATACCCGATGCCTTTCTAACTCCGCTTGGCTCAATTCCAAGCAGGTTCCAACTGTTCTTTGATGGGCGCCCCATTTGACGTGAGCAGGGCCACCTACTGGACCGTCCGCCGGGTCCAGCGGCTCCCCGGTGCCCCACGATGACCTGGCGCCATGGAGTCGCTCTAAGCTTCACCGAAAAGGAAAGAAGAGCGTGGCATCAGGAGTTTTTCGACTCCATGGCTTTGATAACCATTGGAGCTCACCTTTCCCGGGTAGGGTCTGCAGGGCCCGGACTCTGGTCGAGGTACGGTGGATAATCCCGGTCACCCTTTCGGATGCTTTGAGAATCCAACTAGGCATGCGACTTGTGCCTGTACTATTGCCAAAGTTGTATTCGTGGAGGGGTTCATTTCCMTTCATGGATACGTACATTTGCTCTAAGCTTCCGACCGTCTGTTATTGGATATCGGTTGGGCATGCTTAGGTCTCTCCATATGTACAGCAAGACCTGCCTTGAAATAGCACCGTCAGACCTTTCGTGCTTCTGGACTATCCTCTTTGCTTTGAGAGTGTCATTCAAGCATCCGCATTCTGTACCCAAGAATTCGAGCATTATATATACGCTGTCCTCTTCTTAGGAGGATTGTGGAATCTCAGCTCCTCTTTTGATTCCTTTCCTTGGATGTTGTTCATAGACATCCTTGTTTTTGTGACTCGACATCCTTATATCTCCCTATCATTCTGTAGTCACAAATACTGCCCTGAACTCCTAGAGTATATACTCGGCGAGTCGACTCCAACGCAGACATGCCTCTGTCCCACCTCACACTGACTGTCTCTCACCTCCCAACATCGACTTCCTTCTTCCTCTCCTGCCTACAGCCCCTAGGGTATCATTTTATTGGTCGTCATGATGACTATATTGGATTTGGTCAGAAATCAGGCGAGCCGGCAGATTTCTGGATAACAGAACAGAAGCCAGGGTCAGTATTCGTTCTGAACTCCCTACCATAGCCCCATTGACGAGGACGATATCATAGATCGCCAGCTGGTGCAGCACATGTTGCTTTCCCTGCGCCGTCAAAAGATGCTGTAGGATCCTTTTTCATCAGTGCACTGAAAGCCGGCGGAAAGATTCACGGGGAGCCAAAGACGCGCGACACGGACTCGGGATACTACAGTGCAGCAGTGATCGACTTTGACGGCAACAGCATCGAAGCTGTGTACCGTCCAGGTATCTCTGCTGCTAAGTCAGAAGTTAGCGCACCAGCAATTGGCCTGCTTGAGAATGGGTCCGTGGTGTCCCGCGCTAGCACAAAGGTCAGCTCCGTCAAGCCTCAAAGTATAGCTCCCTCTGCCAGGTCAGAGGCCAAGTCGTACGTCTCAAGAGCGACTACTGCCGTAGAGCGAGGAGCACCGTCGGAGCGAACTGCACCGACCATCATCTCGCGCGAGATCCAGCAAGCGCCGTCTCCCACCTATATTGTCAACCATACAACTCACACCACCCAAAAGAAGGACGACAGCACAGCCAAGACAATCGTTGGTACGCTCATCGGAGCGGCTGCAGGCGCAGCAATCGCTTATGCAATGACCAAATCCGAGTCGCAGTCCTCGGAGGTCACTCCTCCTCCGCAGTACACACCCCGGGATTTCCTTCAGTTGACGTCTCCATCGCAAGCTCCGTCGCTAGCTCAGGAACATCAGGGCTACAGGGCTATTGACGCTCCTCCCGCCAAGAGCACCTTCTCCCGATCAGATATGCGATCCACTCTGACTCGTAGTGTCTCTTCGAAGAATCCTCGTGCGAGCACAATATACGAAGACACAGAGTTCGTCCACCCCCGTGGAGAAAATGGCAGTGTGTACCTCGACGAACATGGGCGCCGTGCCTCTGATGGGAGTGTCTACACCGTGAGGGATATCCCTCTGAGAGCGATTGAGTACCCTCCACCGGCCCGTTCGACTACGTATCCATGCAATCCCAGCACTCTCATCAGCAGCTTCCCGGATAAGTCGCGAGCCATGGATAAAGAGAGCGTCTATTCATCATCAACTGCCAAACCATCCAAAGCCAACTACCAGGATCACCATTCTTCCCGCCATTCTTCGCATCAGTCAGCGGCCAGATCCCTGGCCGGAAGCACGACCTCCTCCGCGCGGACGGCCCGTCAGGTCCCGCTGCCCGAAGGGTCCGTGACATCTTATGCGTCGTACCACAGCGGTGCAAAGTCCGGTCTCTCTGCCCGTGAGATCCCGCTTCCCCAGAGTCTCGTGGATGACTTTGAGATCCAAACCAATATCACGCCCGACGATTCTATAAGTCAGGTCGATTTCTCACGAAGGTCCTCCTACTCCCATCAATCCCACCGCTCAAAAGCCCCCTCTCATGTCTCCAAACGATCCAGCAAATTCGACGAACCCGTCCAACCAAGCGACAGCGTTAGTCAGGCCCCGACCAATGTGTCCAAGGTGTCGCAGAGGACCATCAAAGCAAACGGCAGTATAGCTGGGGGCGCCTCCAAGGCTCCATCCAAGGTCAGCAGTCGGAGAGGCAGCCAGGTTGCCTGAGCAGACTCAGGGACCCGTAGCTTGGTTTTCCCCGTCATCTTCTTCAACTGCTTGCTTCTCCATTCTCGCCTTTTCTCTACATTTTCTCAGAATTCATCAATCAGCCATGTAACGACAGTGTAACCGCGGCATATCACCACGCATTAAACAGGCAGCAAGGTCGGGCGTTTTTGTTTTTCGTCGTCTCGTTGATCGTGCATTGATGTCTAGTACATATACTCGAAACACATAGACTATATATGATGCGGCCCTAGAACAGTTCAAGAAGCTGGCCGGTCATCTTGATTTATCTCTCTCTTGCTTATGTCTGGGTCGCGATTCTCTTGATTGTCCCCTATTTTCCCATCTTCACTTCTGTTCTATTTACCTTTCATGCATTTGTTGACATTACAGGTCGATCAGCACACTTATTCATATGAACATCTCGCATGCATTTGGGTAGTCCTCCATGTCCTTATTCGCATACTGCAGCCCATTCTGTGCTTTAGCTCAATGGATGTCTGTCCATATTACATACTGGGTAAATCTATCGTCCAAACCGAGCTGAGCTTTCATACTTGGCCCTGTTGCATAAGTAACAACATCCCGAGCTGTGCAGTAGGACAACAGAATCCAGATGCCGAGGGGCTACTCGCAGAAGGGCTCTTGGTTTAGACTAGATCTCTACGAGTATGACAGATCGGAATCCATGAAATGCACAAGCATTGAAAGCAAACTCATTCTTAACCGGTCAACGGGTCGGACGTGGTCTTGCCTTCATACCTATCGCTATCTAATACACACCGTTACCACCACCGGCGCACCACCAAGACCCCCTCCCTTTCCGCTCTCCTCACGACTCACGCGACCTCTCTTCTCTCCGAGGCAAAATCCTCAAGCCATACGAGCCACAGCCACTGCCGCCCAAAGACCCGGTCTTGAGGTTTTTATGTTCATCAAATGGATTGTCGAACTCCATCCAGTCGAGATCGAAAAAAAAACTGCTATGAATGCATCAAAGACAATTGGTCATTATGATCGTAGGACATGACACTTCCCGCCGTTAGAGAAAGCGCAGAGAATAACACGAATTTAGAGACATGCGATTGTTTCACAGTAAGAACAAGGAACGGATCTACGATCACGGTACGCCAGGCTTCGGATCTGATCTAACGGAGTGAAAGATGACGCAGAAAGAATTGGGAAGACCGAGGTGGCCGCGCAGAAGTCAAACTGTGAAGATCAAATAGCGTATTTGCGTGTCCACTCGCGGGCCGTCGCTTCGTACCGAGGGCGGTCGGTCTTGTAGACGTGAGCGATCTCAGGCACCAACGGGTCGTCCGGGTTAGGGTCTGTGAGCATTGAGCAGATCGAAAGCAGCACTGGAGAGCGGTCAGCATCTAAGAAAGGAGGATCATTCACATCGATAAATACCTTTAGAGATTGTAAGAGCGGGGCTCCACTGGTCTCGCAGAATGTCAAGGCAGATACTGCCATTCGAGTTGATGTTGGGGTGGTAGATACGAGTGGTGAAGTTGACCTTGGGTGGCTTAAAAGGATAATCGGTAGGGAAGTGGATGGTCAGGAAGAAGACGCCTCCCGAGTATGGCGAGTCACCCTGTCAAAGAGGAATGTCAGCATTCAAGAGCATAGACGGAAGATACTCAATCACTCTTGAGTCACAAATGCGACCAGTGATTAAGTTGGGGGAACTTACAGGACCCATGATTGTTGCTTGCCAGTGAAACTATTACACCAGCTGTCAGTGGCCATATTCAAAGAGTAATGAGATGCTGGGAGGAAGTTGCAGGGCATAGGCGGATTCATGCAGTATGCTGCGCCGCAGATGGCAGCTGCACACACGACAGTAACAACAAAGCTTGCGACGGAAGGGTCGGGAAGATATCATACCAGATCATCTCCAACAGGGCCAGCAGAGCAAGAAGAGGGCGGATCACTAGATGAACAATCAATATCAGCATTGTGAAAAGCTAAGAATGACGTCTTGAATTCGGGAAATGGAAGCGCCATGAGGACGCCCATGACACCCCGCAGTGGTGGGGTGAAAGACACCACGCCGCAGCGGACATGGACGACGACAGAGAGAGCGAAGAACTGAATGTCTTACCGGCCGAGGTCAGTGAGTTCCTTGTTAATTCTCTTGAGAGCCATTTCGGCAGTTCTGTGATATGAAAGAGTGCAGATAAAAGATCAGCCACTCAAGGTATTGTTTGTTCTGCACACACAGAGTTCCGAACGTTAGTACCGAAGATCAGGAAGTGAGTAGTAAATCAACCGAAATAAAACAGAAGAAGATGAGAGAAGAGAAGAAAAAGAAGACGAGAATGATAAAAATTTGGGAGGACTAAGGGTGGACTCACTAGGGACAAAAGATGGATTTGATTACGTCGGAAATGGGAGGGCGAAAAAGAAGAAGAAGAGTAGGAGGAGGGGAAAAGAGGAAGGGAATTGGGCTGAAAGAGGGAAAACGAGAGAGAAGGAGAGAGAGTGACAGAGAACCTCAGGCAAACTTTCAGATCAGCGGGTTACTTACGTACAGGGCGGTATTACCGTCAGAATACCCACTATGCTAACCTGAGTAGGTTAGATTCTCTCAATTTTACTAGGTGAAACTAAGTATTCTCCTGCTCCAGCCACACTGCGTCATATGGTCTTGTCGTTTCTTAAAGAGTGAATACTGATATAGGGGGTTGGTGATATCCTATCCTTAAACGTTGACAATAAAAATCAGCTTGGCTGCGATGTTACATTGGTAAGCACCGCACTATCTAAGAATATCAGCCCCTGTCGATCGGGTCAGGGTGGTGTATCAGGCCTTCCACATCAACCTTGACGCATCGCCACTGTCCGCCAGTTGGTAACTTGGTACTTTACTTTAAGTGGACGATCGATACGCCATTACGGATCGTTCCTTAGCTTGTTTTTCATTCAGCCTTGTCCTTTTTTTCCTTACAGCGGATTACACAGGTTTACAAATGATGACAAAGTAAGACTTTCAAGTCTTTTTTTTTTTGCATCTCGTAAGGCGGTGGTGGCAAGTAGAAGAATTGAGATATCAGATTTTTGGTACATGTTCATGTTACGGATGTCAGGTTGAGTGCGGAGTGAATGAGGACCTGGAAGGTATGCGAGTCGTGGTAGCATGGTCGTTTGCTATGGCTGCTTCCATGCTGCGGCTTGGATATATACAGGCATTATCAAACATGGTTCCAAAGCAATCATTCCTACAGATCGACCAGGAAGGGCTAGAATGTCTTAGACAAACGCCTGAACTCCTGTGATGGCCCGTCCCAGTATCAATGCTAAACCCCAGCAATGTCAGTCTTTGAACTCATCATGTGGAAATGACAGGCTATGATATCCGCAGGGTACTCACCGTGAATGTCACTCTGTCCTTCGTAGGTCTGCACCACAAATAGATTGGCTACGTGCCGTCCGATATGGTATTCGTCGCTGGTTGCATTACCGCCGAAAATCTCCTGGAGCCTACCCATCGAGAAAGCCGTTAGTATGATTCGACTCCAAACAGCGGAAGTTGCAGGAAGGGAGACACATACAGCCGTGCATTCGCCAGAGCTCGATCACAATTCTGCCTCTTGATCATGGAGATCATCTCGGGAGTGCTCTTGCCCGCGTCCTTAAGCCGAGCGACCTGAGTCGCAGCCAGTGTTCCATATGCCGCATCAGTGGCTGCATCGGCTAGTTTCTTCTGGACGAGCTGGTACTTCGCCAGCGGGTTACCCTTGAACTGCTTCCGCTCCAGTGCATAAGTGCGGGCACGGTCGATGCAGTCCTCCAGAGCGCCCATGGCACCGAACGCAATGCCCAACCGGGCACTGTTCAGGCAGGTGAAGGGGCCCTTGAGGCCTTCGACGTCCGGAAACATGTTCTCCGCTGGCACAGGGCAGTCGTCCATCTGGATCATACCTGTAATCGATGCGCGCAGAGCAGTCTTGTTCTTGATCGCCGGAGTTTGCAGTGTGCCGGGCGGGCACTGGCTACGCTCGACGATGAAACCCTTGATCTTGCCGGTTGTCTGCAACTTGGCCCATACCAACATGATATCCGCGATGGGGGAGTTGGTGATCCATGTCTTCGCTCCGGACAACAAGTAGTAGCCCTTCTTGGTCGGGTGTTCGCGCGCAGTCGTCTCCATCGACCCGGGGTCAGAGCCGTGGTTGGGTTCTGTAAGACCAAAGCAGCCCGCCAGTTTTCCCCTGGCCAGTTGCGGTAGGAATCGGTCCTTCTGCTCCTGGGTGCCGAACTCGTAGATACCCGTCATCGCCAGCGAGCTCTGCACCGACATTCCCGATCGATATCCCGAGTCCACCCGTTCGACTTCTTTTGTGATCAACCCCGAGGCAACCGTACTCGCACCGGCGCATCCATATCCTTCAATGCTCGCGCCGAGAAGGCCCAGCTCCCCCATTTCCTCCAGGATTTTACGGTCATAGTCTTCGTTTCTATAGGCGTCTAAACAAATGCAAATCTGTAAGCGGAAATCACACATCGTCCCTAGGTATGACTTACCGAGAACACGGGGAAGTAATCGCTCTTGGCAGTATTGTCGGGCTGTGTCCTGAATCGCCAATTCCTCTTCTGTGTACAGCTCCGATGCGGCCAGGGGATCCTCCCAATTAAACACTGTCGAATACGCCCGTACTGAAGCATTCTGGCAGACCGCGGGAGCTTTGTACAGGCGATTCGCCGATCGAAGGTGACGCGATGCAGCGCGGAAGATTGAGCGGTTCATGATTGATTTAAACGAAAGAATGCGGCGCGAGAAGAAGGACAGTGAGGGAAGTAGTACAAATCAAATAAAGCTCGGGTATCTATTTTAGTGAATCTCCTCCTGCACAGCTCCCAAGTCGAATTGAAATTGACTGCGGCAGCTGGTGGCTATCCAGAGCAGCAAGGTGCAACATGAATTGCGGGGAGCCCGATTGTCCAGATAACGCTTGACCTCGGCAGTCGATCGGGATGTTTGTCTGCCCTCCGACGATAGAGCAATTCGAAGGTTCGAATTCAGTAGTGAAAGCAAGAATTGCGATAAAAGCTCGTCCAACAACCTATTTCATCCATACCTATATATACCCACACCGAAGGCCGATCTCGGTGATCCTCGGTCATCCGCACCACCTACTTTGGGTCATATTAAGCCTCGGGATTGTATCCGTTCCGTCGGTGCCACCATCCAATAACCGCCAGGATAAGCAGAGTCCTAACTAGAGGCATTTGGCTGTCAGTATGACATTCTTGATAATCTATGTGCATGCTCTAGGCTACATGGCTGTCACATCAAATATTTACTCGGTAGCCGGAAGCCTCGCTTCACAATGACGTCTTGACAACAGTGGTCTTTTATGCCTCTGTCTTAGTGGAGTGAATCGTTATGAAGCTGCCATCCACCGACAGCTGCAGATTGCAGTTACCTATACAAGGGCAGATTTCGTGAGGGAGCCATCGATGTCGGAAGAGAAATCCCTTCTCAGTGGGAAGTCTGACGGACTTCCTGAGTTGCATGCTCGGATGGCAACGGTTAGGCCTTTCAAGCCATTCAAAACAATCGTGGACACATTGACACGACAATGTAGTGCTCAAAAGTTCATCGGCGGACTCAAACATGGATACGTACGACAGAATCTGGAATCGACTGGCTAAGTTCGGCAATAATTGACTGATAATGTCGGAGGATTCAGCAAAGCCCCAACCTGGGCCCTCGAGTAGAATGAACGGTCCCATAGTTGCTGTTCTTTTCACTAAATGTTGTATTAAGACAGTGCGGGTTGTTGCCGATTGACTGCCTCAACAGCTCAAGCAGGCATCTGAGACTGAAGAAAATCGAAGACGCCCGTAGGGAAATACTCCTCGTCGAAGCCCCATAAATCAGCCATCATAGGATCCAGAGAGCCTATCGAGAGACCTGGCTCCTGTTTCCTTTGCAACTGAGCAGGTTCATACCCATTACTGCGCTCAGCCGACAGAGGAGCCATTCCAGGTAGTGGAGGAGGGTGGCTCAGAATGGTGTCTCGTTCACCCAATGGTTGCGCTCCAGGAATTATAATGGGCTTGAACATTGATGTAGCCTCATAGGGATTCTGTCCCAGAGATTGCTGGCCACCCGAATTTCTCTTTTCCCACTCCTCGAATCCTGTAAGCATCTTGCGCAAGCCACGGGCTATATGATGAGTAAGATGGCGCTCACTAGCACGCTTGCTACAAGTGACCATCAGCTCAATAATTCTACCAACCAAGGCACGCACGTAAGGCGCATCGATTGAAAGACCTGCTGAGGCAATGGAGTTTTGTTGTCCTTGTGCATTGGCCAGCGTCCCGGAGCAACATTTGGCGGCGATCTTGAGGAGGAACACGGCTGCAAAGGTGATCATGCTGTGGAGATATAAAGGAACGCCAATCAAAGCTCTTTGAATGTCTGGTTCATCGAGTACCACCAGGAGGGTTTCGATCGCAGATTCTATCGCCAGATTGGCATGTTTCTTGCGTTCAGCGGACATCGGCCGCGACGAATTCGAGGAGTGATACGTCCGTAAAGCAACCGAGTTCAGTTGCAGACGAGAGAAGTGGTAGTGCAGATAGACGGCTTTGTACGGGTATGCACCGACATACCGACTTCCAGCTGTTTCACCTCAACATTAGCGTTCTCTTCATATTACCAACGCAAGCAGATCAAGCCGTTATGCGTAC